AATCCTTGGGGCCCTTCAAGGATGATATGCTGCTGGTGGAGACACGAGGACCCCAGGACAACAGATCACTCTGTGCCTTGGAACCCAGTGGGTGTACTACACTGCCCAGCAAGGCCTCCACCGGGCCCACCACGGTGAGGGGTGGTGGCCCCTCCTCCACAGAACTCCCCAGCTCCATTTCAAACCCGGCCTCTAATTTTCACTCCGTTTAACTTTTCTGTACTCTCTGCCAAGCTCCGTGCTGGTTTCTGGGGATGTGGGGGTGACTGAGACTTGAGCACTGTGCTCAGTGGCCTAGCAAAAGTCTCCCAGCCAGTCCTCTCACTGCCACCATTTTGCCCAGCTGCAACCTGTTAGTCTCCTCAGGGCACTGCCCCCAGGTGACAGTCCCCCATCCCTTGGCTTGGCAGAGGGCAGCGCGTCTTGGAGAGGAGTTACTACAAGACCTACAGTCAGGGCAGTGTCTGCAGGTGAGTAAGTGGCAGGAGGGCCCCACCCTATGCCCAAGGGGAAGAGGCCTGAAAGCCTCACCTACTATCTACATACTTATGCTTACTTTTGCGTCTAGCCCTGGGGAACTTCAGGGTAGAAGAAGCACAGCTCCTTGTCCCTGGTTGCTGGCTAGACCAATAAACAGATGGCAGTAAGTGTTGGATCTCTTCCTGTGGCCAGTTTTGGCATGGAGGCGGTTATAGCCTGGGGAGTAGGCACAGCATAAGCAAAGGCAGGGCAGCTCGCAGGGACCTCCTGTTTGCAGGGAGAAGTATATACAGTTGAGGCTGGGAGGTTTTTCTTCCACGAGAGAGAGAGAGAGAGAGAGAGAGAGGAAGCAGCGGTATACCCAAGAAGGTCTTCATGCCACAATCCACCCCCAGCCTTCATCTGGCCCCAGATCATGGGCACATGGATGCCCCGGGTACTCAGGAAGGTCTCCAGAGCTGAACAGGGAGCCTTCCCACTGGGACTGCCTCACAGAATGTCAGGTTTTACCAGTGAGCCACTATCCAGCTCCTGAGTCTGGGCATTTGGAGACCAGGCTGGCCAGGTGGGTGTTGAACACCAAGCCAAGGGCCCTGGACTCAGTTCTTTTTGTCTTTCAGCTGTGGAATGGTGACCTGGGAGCACTATGGGCCTGCCCCATGGACAAATGTGAGTACGACAAGAACCTCCCTTTCTATTTAACAGAGACCACTCCTGGGGACAGCAGATGCCACAGCCTTGTATTGCCCTAGGTCAGATAAATCAGAGGGTCATTATTTCATTCATTCAAAAAACCTGATGAGAGCTTGCAGGGACCCCAGGGTTGCCAAAAAGATACAGTCCCTGTCCCAACCCTTAGAAGACAAGAAAGACATTAGCCAAAGAATGACATTTAGTAAACGGGAGCTACTGAGTGCGAGTTTACAACAATGTGGGCCTATTGAAGCACTCTAAAGTATTCTATTGCTGTAAATACATAAACAGAGACCAGACTTGAGGAGTCAGGGAAAGGTTCAAGTAACACTCTGAAGGCCGGACTAGGTGAAGGAGGTAGAGATACTTTTTATTTTTTATTTTAATTAATTAATTAATTATTTTAGAGGGGTTTTGTTTTGTTATAGGGCGCGTGCGCTCGCCAGAAAGACAGAGATAGAAAGTAAGAAATTACCCCTGGGGGGATGGCCACGCAGCAATCCCTTCTTCTCCATTCTCCTCTTGGGATCATAGGCACACACATACACACACTCGGCATGAGTTTAATCCACCAGGTCTGGGACTTGAACTGCGGTCGACTACATGGGAGTCCAGCAACATAGCCATTACTCCAACTGCTGGTCCCATAGAGATGCATTTTAATGAAGACTGTGGGTCATATTTTTGAGGAAATCCAAAAGGGCCAATGTGACTAGAGGGTATTGGGCAGGGAGACTTCTGTCTTGAGACGAAGATGAGCGTGCAACATGGGGAATTTGGATTTTGTGTGTACAGTAGCACGGGCTTCCAGGAGGGTTATAATCATAACCCTTTGCTAGAGGGCACATGTGCTTGCCAGATAGAGAGGGAAAGTGAGAAAGCAATGATCACACCACAATCCTTTCTTCTCCAGTTCCTCCGTTCTGGATTTGGGGCACACATGCATATGAACCCGTAATGTTTTTTGTCTGTGGGATCTGGGATTGGAACTACACAACTGGCCATGTGGGAGCCAGCCACCTTAACCACCATACCACCAGCTGGCCCCGCGTTTGTATTTTTGAAAGATCTGTGGTTGCCACATGGTGAATGGGTTGGAAGGAAAAATTCAGGGCCGGGATGACTACCGCAGACATCCGAGACAGCAAGGTCAAGGGCCCACAGCCCTGGGTGTAAGAGGCAGTATTAGCTGACGTTTGGGCACGCCCAGCGTTTGGCACTGTGGTAACGATCTGTACGTGCTAAGGCGGTGAGTTCTCACAACCACCTCTGGAGTAGGCACTGCTGTCACGCCAGTTTTGCAGAGGTGAAAACTGGGCAGACAGTGAAGTCAGGTATTCAGGGTACCCACACAG